TTATTGTTCTTACATTTAGCTAATTTTTACTAAATGTAAATCTTAAATGGAATATTTAATTGTTAAATCCTAAATCTAAATGTGTGGATATAAATGTAAAAGTTAAATATTAAATGTTAAAGTTTACATTTAAGAATCTCAGAATGGAAGGCAGCCTTTATTGTTGGTGTGAGGCTTTTGTTATGACATCATCATCCTGCAACAAAAGCAAACGCTAATGCTGCTAACGCCGCTAACGCTTCCCTACAAGACATCAAACTTGCAGTTGCAGCCGGTGTCTGAGCTGCATTTTAAACTGCCAGACCACAGGTACCATCCAAACTGTTTTCAATGAACACATTTGAATTTAAATTTTAAATACCATCACCAGCAGCATTTTAGCAACATTAGCAGCAGCAGCAGTGGTAGTGTTTGCTTTTTTTTGCTGGATGATGACATCACCAACAACGAAGGTTACGTTTTGTTCCAAAATTCTTAAATGTAAATTTTATCATTTAGGATTTATCATTAAACATAACATTTACCATTTAATAAATATTAGCAAAATATAAGGACGCTGAGCTAAATAACATTAAAAAGGTTCTGAAATGTTTCTATTCGACTATGGCGCTCCATATTTACTCACATAGCCAGCTTTGATTTTTGCTTCTCGTTTCAAACTAATCTAATGGAAAAGTTTTCTTGAGTGATTTTCAAGCCTTACGCAATGAGCCAATCAACAACCCACTTTTACCATCACAAGCCTGTCTCAACATGAAGCTAAAGCCAGCGATGTCAGAAAATTATAGTGAGGTATGGAGAGCTTTAAATGTATGTCTGAGCCCAGGGCTGTTTTTTCTTCATCCCCGCCTCTGTTGCTTTTACAGCTTTCACCAGTAGCCACTAGCTTCACCTTATTGCAGGTGTTGCACAAATCTCTAACCAGGACCGCAGGTAGAGATGATGGAGCGGTGATTACAGAGCAACTGGTTGCTGCTGTTCTGACATTACTCATGTCTGTGCAGAGGTTGTGGACGAGGAGAACAAACTGCGTGAGGATGACAGAGAGGAGACCACCTCACCACTTTCAGCTCCCCACCAGCCTGCTGTCCCATTCGACCCCTGCGAAGGTTTGATATTCAGCTTAATGAGGCGAAGGAACGGCTCACGATGAGTCGTTTTGTTGTTGTTGTCGTTGTTTTGAGGTGTATGTATTTAGAGGAAAAGCAGGTTTTCATTGTGTTGTAGTCTTTTAGGATCTTTGTATTATATTCTGTACAAGGTCCCACTGTCCCAAAACATAATGCAGACGTTTAAAATGGCCAAAGCTGAGCTGTTAAAACTAAAGGAAACGGTGATTCTTGTTTACCACATAGAGCAACAGAGTCCTTATCTGTTTTAGAATAAAATGCTGCTGTGTTGTAAAGCAGCGGTACATTGGATTCATGAGTCCTGACTGTGCCATTATCGCTTGCAGGAAACGACATCTGTGAGCAGCAGTGCACCCCGGTGGCTGGAAGGCCACACTGCTCCTGTTCTCCGGGCTTCTCCCTCCGAGCCGACGGACGCTCCTGCGAAGGTAAAGGCAGCTCAAACCCGGTGGTGAGGCAAGCAGGAGAAGGTTTTTTTTTTTGAAAATCTTCCGTCGTGACAGAAGTGAAGGATAGACTTTGAAATCCATCCCGGTTTTCTCTTCAAGCCCGAGGAAGTTCGGTTCCAGCCGAGGAAGCCCTCATGGCGGGACCGTCTGCCGCTGATTTGTCTCTTTCACTCATCAGCGCCTCCAGATTTGCAGAGCAGATACAGCACTAATCCCCCTGTGGGAGAAGTTTTCATCTTGTTCCCAATCCTAAATCTATACCAGAGGGATTATCCCAACAATCCATGCATTATCACGACAAATCTCCCCAACTTCATACCATAGATGCCCATTATTTTCCTCTCAGAGCTGTCGACCGTGCGTTCTATCATTGGGCCAATCAGATACTGAACCACATGTCCGGGCTGTCTCCTGGGGGATGAGTTCCATCATAACTGGTGGTCTGTCTCTGGTTACATCATCAAATTGTTGCGGCAACACAGAAAGCAGACAATGTCTGTTTATTGTGTGGATGTTTCTCCTTAGCCATTTTTTTCCACTTACTACGCCTTGTTCCCCATCCCCCCACCCCACTTCATCTCCTGTGCTCCTCTCCCTCACACATTTGTCTCGATTCTTTTCCTCCAGACGTAAACGAGTGTTTGTCTCCTGGCGCCTGCCAGTTTAATGAGCGCTGCGTGAATACCGCGGGGAGTTATGCCTGTCAGAGACTGATCACCTGCCCCCCTGGATACCAGATCAACGGTGACATTTGCAAAGGTAATCTGCACCTTATCAGCGGCAGACAGCATCAACGAGATCACTTCCACCCACTGTGAACAAGTTAGCGAGGGCCACAATGCACGGAAGGTGAATTGTTCGAAAAGAATCACCAGTCCCCCCCCCTGAGAGTTACGTACTGAGATTCTGACATTTTACAAAATCCTCACATCTAGCAGTCATGTCAGTTAATGTGCCAGTACACATAAAGTTCCTGTCACACTTTAAAGTTTTAGACAACTTATGCCAGGATATGAAAATGTTGTCCAACACTGAAACTGTCTATGCTGGAGATGGAATAAAAAACATCAACTGGAAGCCTCTTTTAGAGGTAAACATACTGTAATGCTAATGAAAATATAACCTATATGAGTTAATTAGTCGTAACAAATTGATCACGAGTCGACAGAAGTTGTCTAAAACATTTGCTGTTGGTGTGAGGCAACAATAAACAACAAACTATTGTATATTTTAAAGAGGTGGGAGTGGGGGCTCAGAGGTTAGGCAGGGGTCTACAACCTTTACAATCACAAGAGCCATTTCTGTCCCCTGGCACACTGATAAAATATGTCCAGAGCCACAAAACATGCTACGTGTGATTATGTTCATTCAATTTATTTCATTCATAAAAATAAATTCTACAGTATATGCAGTAAAAATAAAAAGTAAATCCTGCCATGAATGAAACAGGGTGTAGAGTGAAGAAAAAAATCTAATCATATCTGCCCCTTGTTTAAAAAAAAACAACAACTTTAACCAACAAACTCAAGCTTAAACAAAAAAATTAAATTAAAATAAAACAAAAAACATCAGATACCTTCATATCTCATTTCTATTAAATACTACAAATCAAATGATCATTTGCTGGCCCACGGGCCACTTTGAGTTTGCTGAAGTGATGGTTTCCGGTCAGTGGGGGGGACATTATAAGACTGAAAATGTAAAATACATTAGAACATTTATTATTATTTCTATATTTTTGGTAGCCTGGCCCTCGCCTTCCTAGGCAGTTTCGCTCAACTCTAGTTTCCCTTCACTGCTCCGTCTGGGATTTCTCCCATAGAGAAGGATTTCTTCAGAAGACTTTTCGTCAGGGCCAATCAGTGAACAGAATGTCGATTTTCTGTGCAGTGTCTGCTAGTTAGTCTAGCATGCAGCAGTGGAGGAAGTGAATGAAGCCAGTCCGTGTTGATAAGGCTTCCAAATTAAATTAAATTTATCTGACAAAGCAGCAGCTCTCATTTACAGCCGTCTCGTTTGGCTCGGTACGTCTCTCCTCTCAGTAGGGTTGTTTACAGCGCACGTGATTTCCGGTTAGCTTCTTAGCTTAGCCTCCTTCACAGCGACATATGTCGCGACCAACCAAGCCAATCATTTTAAACTTCAACAGAGGCCACGCCTCCTGCAAGAATGGCTTCTTTTTAGCCGTGAGTCCAGACCCTCTGTATAAAGCAAAGTGAAGGACAAGAGGCTGGTTTTTGCCAGGCTATATTTTTGGATAAAAAAACAAATAAAATATTAATTTAAACATAAAAAATTGTTTATACTAAATTTATTTAAAAAAATTTAAATTGTCATTGCTATCTAATGAATTCACCATATTTCTTCTGAGGTATTCCAAAAAATTCTTGATGGATTTGAGAAAACATATATCACAGTGTAAGGCTGGAAGCTGGATTATTGAAGCAGTAAACAAACTACTAACATGATCTAACCAACATGTTTCACTTCTTGCATTAGTAGTTCAAACGTATTTGTGAACAAATGAACAGAAACACAGTTAAAGCTTGTTTTTTCTGTTGTGGGTATAAAAAAACTACAACAAAAAATCAATCTCATGTTAGTTTTGGTCAAAGCTTCATAGTTGCTGCAGAGGGACCAAAGGGCCACATGTGGCTCCAGAGCCTCAGGTTGCAGACCCCTGAGATAGAGATTGCAAGCCTGTGATCTGAAGGTCGCTGGTTCAAATCCCCTGATCGTTACGTTAAAAGTGTGAGTGTGAGAGGTGAAGGGTCCATACCTGCTTCCACTCTTGTTCACCCCAGGATGGCAGACCCCTTATTCCACACAGGTGGGCTGTGGCAACTTGGTGGTCCGAGGTCATGTCAGGAAGGGCACTTTGTACACTTTGAGGCAAAAACATAAAGGCAGGATGTACAGGAATGCCTTGTGCCTGCCTGCCTGCCTGTGTGTCTGTCAACAAAATATCTCATTAACCTCTGCACTAATTTGAATCAAAATCTCTAAAAGTAATTACTGGATGTGCATCTACAACTGATTAACATTTGTGTCAATTCAGTTTCAATTGTCCACCGCAGTGAAGTAATCTTGGCAAACAAAAATAAACAAATAAATAAATAAATGGCTAACTTCAGTCACTTTTACAGATGCTGAAGTAGAACTAGATGGTAGTAGATGAGAGTTATCCAAAACTCGTACGCTGATGATTTTGTCCAAAGATTGCCAAATTTATTTTTAAAGGTTGTATTTACTTGCTCTGTAGGGACCTGCTTAATTTGCCACTGCAGTTGGTGCTGTGGGTTGTAACAGTAAAGCTCTCCATCCGTCTCATTATTTCTCTGTAAACTGGGTCGGTTCAGTCTGAACTGCAGCCACTTTCAGGATGAAGGGCCTCCGCGACGCGTGAGTTTCAGATAGGCTGTAAGTGCTGTTTCACCCAGTAAATGAGCTTCTGTGGTTCAGACGCGTGCACGCACACACACAGCTAATCTGCGCAACTAATGACGTTTAATGGTTAAACAAGAAGTGTGTTTAGTGGTAAGCCTCCAGACTTTTACTACTTCAAACCACTGATAAAAGAGACAAGTTTAAAAAAAGGTTGCAATCTATTAAATTGCTGCTGCTGTCAAATTCTAAATAACCTTATTTTTTCTTGAAAGTGAAACAACTTCTTTAGTTCTAGCATTTAATATGTTTACTGTGTTCCACTGTGAATAAAATGTGTTTATGAGACTTTTTAATGTTTTTTTTTACTGATTTTTTCCTGTAAAATATGATATAAATTGTTCAGATTTATCAAACGATGCACACTAATACTGTCAAAAAGAACAGTTTTAAATTAGGCACTAAAAACAGTAATAATCCTTCATATCTTTAACCATGAGAATGCAGTATTGTTTAAATATATATAAACTTAGCAGAAAAAGTAAGAAATCACTTTAAGATCCTCTTGTATGTTTTTAAATGCCTAAACATCTCCGCCTCATCTTACCTCTCTGATCTAATTCATCCATATGTCCCACTGTAATTAGCTTTTTGCACTAATTTCAAAATGTTTTGTATTTTAAACTCATGTAATTTACTTTATGTCCTCGATGTGTCTGCTTTGCAGCACGTTGGTTGGCCTTGTGCTGTTTTAAGTGCTTAATAAATAAAAGGAGTCTGGTATGGTACCAAACACAAATTTCATTACTTTTTCTGCTAAGTTTATATCTCAATAAGATTTTTCAGGCCACGGGGTTCAGATTTTATCTTTATCTCAAAAGAGATGAAGTGTTTCTGCATCATTTTTTCATGTACTGTTGTAATTTCTTTGATGTATTCAACACGCTTAAAGAGAAAATCTGTGAAGGTTTCCAACGGGGCTGAACATTTGCCTCTCCACTGAGCCCGTTTACTGAAAAGACAATTTTTCATTTCTTTTCCTTCTTTTAGTTTTCTCCTTTTGCCTCCGTCTCTGTCAGACTCACTCAGCTGTCGGCTCACTTCCTGTCAGGAGTGAGATGCTCAGTCGCCCATTACTGAACCTACAGCAGACCCTACGTCCACAGGGCCACCTGCCAAAGCTGCTTTAGGGCCCTTAGATTCTTTGTTTGGAATAAAAAAAAGAAACTGAGCAGTGTGCCCACCCTGTCCCATTCCAGACTGTATAGACGTTTATTCCAGATCATCTGGTTTTATTTAAAGTTATACAAACAGATGTGGAGAATTGACTGAGAAAAAGTGACTCAGCATTGATCACTCTGAACAGGAAGAATAATCCTCCGTGTTGAGCCATTAGCGCTACTGATCTAATTGAAACATTAAGTCCAGGCTGTTTGGTCGTATTAAATATGATTAGTGATCATGTGGTGAAACAAAACTGCCACTTCACCACAGTGCCATCCAGAGGACAGATGGGATATTACAGAATCATCGCTCTCGTCGCTCCTCGTCCACTCAATGGCTTTCTCCTCCCGCAGACATCAACGAGTGCATACAGGGAACCCACAGCTGCGGAGCCGGCTTCCAGTGTGTCAACACAGAGGGTTCGTTCAGGTGCAACCCCAAACCCTCCTGCCCCGCTGGCTTCAGACGGGGCACACAGGGCAACTGTGTCGGTAAGAAAAACCTTTTTATGTCTAATAAACGTCTCATTCAGTATGTATGAAACAAATAAAACAGAGCATATCTCTTCACAGTTGAACATAAATCAAACAGGAAAATTTATGTGTGTTTTTAACAAAAATATACAATAAAATCTGTCTGAGGAACACACACACATTCATCACAGCCATCCAAGCACTTATTACTGCAAAACCCTCTACATTCTGTCAGACTTATTCACTTCAATTTGTTTTATATGCTTTTGTTTTCTAACTGTTTCCTTGATATTATATTTCCTCAGTCCACTTATTAATTGAGGAAAAATAGAATAAAATTAATGCTCAGCAGCACCAGAATTTTAAACTAAAATCATCTTATGTCGAGACTATGGAGGACCAAACCTATCATTATTGGAAATAAATGTATAAATATATAACTGGCATATTAAAATAAATTATAGGGTCAAAAAGAAGTTTGACAAATAAATTATTGTGCCATTAAATCAATTACATCAATTA